TGGTAAAGCAGGCTGCAGCCACTGCCCGGGGCGCGTGTGTTGTAGGGTTACTGTTTTACTGTTCGTTTTGGGGATCATCTGGCAACATCAACAGTTCAATTTAGATAGATAGATAGATAGATAGACAGATAGATAGATAGACAGATAAATAGATAGGTAGATAGATAGATAGGTAGATAGATAGATAGACAGACAGATAGATAGACAGATAGATAGATAGATAGACAGATAGATAGACAGATAGATAGACAGATAGATAGAGAGATAGAGATAGATAGTGATAGCTAGAGATAGATAGAGATAGATAGAGATATATAGAGATAGCTAGAGATAGATAGAGATAGATAGAGATAGCTAGAGGTAGATAGAGATAGATAGAGATGGATAGAGATAGCTAGAGATAGATAGATAATAATAGAGAATGATAGAGAATGAAAGATAATGTTAGATAATTTAGGATGTTACTCTAACAGGTTTTCTTTATCCATTATTGCCCCCTTAATTTTCCATTATTGTTCCCATCACTGTTCCCTTTGCTGTCCATTATTGTTCCCTTAACTTTCCATTATTGTTCCCTGAACTGTTCCCTTAACTTTCCATTACTGTTCCCTTAACTTTCCATTGTTGTTCCCTTAACTTTCCATTGCTGTTCCCTTAACTGTTCCCTTAACTTTCCATTGCTGTTCCCTTAACTGTTCCCTTAACTTTCCATTGTTGTTCCCTTTGCTGTCCATTATTGTTCCCTGAACTGTTCCCTTAACTTTCCATTATTGTTCCCTTAACTTTCCATTATTGTTCCCTTAGCTTTCCATTATTGTTCCCTTAACTTTCCATTGCTGTTCCCTTAACTGTTCCCTTAACTTTCCATTGTTGTTCCCTTAACTGTTCCCTTAGCTTTCCACTATTGTTCCCTTAACTTTCCATTGTTGTTCCCTTAACTGTTCCCTTAACTTTCCATTACTGCTCCCTTAACTTTCCATTATTGTTCCCTTAACTTTTCCGTTAACTTTCCATTGTTGTTCCCTTAACTTTCCATTATTGTTCCCTTAGCTTTCCATTATTGTTCCCTTAACTTTCCATTGTTGTTCCCTTAACTTTCCATTATTGCTCCCTTAACTTTCCATTGTTCCCTTATCTTCCCGTTAGCTTTCCATTATTCTTCCCTTAACTTTCCATTGTTGTTCCCTTTGCTGTCCATTATTGTTCCCTTAACTGTTCCCTTAACTTTCCATTATTGTTCCCTTAACTTTCCATTATCCCTTTGCTTTCCATTATTGTTCCCTTAACTTTCCATTGTTGTTCCCTTAACTGTCCATTATTGTTCCCTTTGCTTTCCATGATTGTTCCCTTAACTGTTCCCTTAACTTTCCATTATGCTCCCTGATTTTCGCATTATTGTTACCTTTTTGTTTTCGTAAAAGAGCTACAATTGTTGCCTTGCAAAACCTTTAAAGTATGTCTACCTAAAAAATCCAAATTGTTTAAAAGAATGGAAGTTTTGGGGTCCGTTTTGTGGTCCAAATTTTTGCCAAAAATCACCAAATTGGCCCCCAGGGACCCCATTACTGTTCCCTTAGCTCCCCACAGTTAAGGGAACAGTAATGCAAAAAGTTAAGGGAATAATCATCAGAATTAGCAAATTAGCTTGTAAAAATAATTGTTGCCCCCTTAACTCACTGTTGCCTTAACTCCCCCAGTTAAGGGAACAGTAATGGAGGTTTTGGGGTCCGTTTTGGGGTCCAAAATTCGCCAAACATTAATGGTTTCGAGCCTGAGGCAAAAGCAAAAGGGAGTAGAGCAAAAAAGTTGAAGGAGCACACAATGAAAGAGATTGGGGAAATTTTAAGGAGCAAAAGTCGAGGTCACAAAAATGCACAAAAATGAACAAAGGGAACAGTAATGCAGAAAATGGAGAAAGATAAGGGAACAGTAATGCAGAAAATGGAGAAAGCTAGCTAAGGGAACAGTAATGCAGAAAATGGAGGAAGTTAAGGGAACAATAATGATGCAGAAAGTTAAGGGAACAGCAATGCAGAAAATGGAGAAAGTTAAGGGAACAACAATGCACAAAAATGAAGAAAGTTAAGGGGACAGTAATGCAGAAAGTGGAGGAAGTTAAGGGAACAGTAATGCAGAAAATGGAGGCAGACATAGGCTCTAAAGAGGACCCTCAAAAACGTGCTAGAGCGACGTGCTAATAGATAATGATAGAGAATGAAAGATAATGATAGATAATTAATGATAGATAGTGATAGATAATGATAGATCATGATAGATATATATATATATAGATAGATAGAGATATAGATATAGATATAGATAGATATAGGTAGATATAGGTAGATATAGATAGAGAGATGGATAGAGAGATAGATAGAGAGAGAGAGAGACGGACGGACGGACAGACAGACAGACAGGCAGACAGACAGATAGGTCGATGGATAGATGGGTAGATAGGTAGCTTGGTAGATGGGTACAGTAGGTTGATGGATAGATGGATAGCTAATGATAGCTATATAGGTAGATAGATAGATAGCTAGATAGATAGATAGGTAGATAGATAGAATTAGATAGAATTAGATATATAAACAGATCGACAAATAGCAGTAAAACACCTGTATGCACAGCATAATTGAATATGTATGCTGGATGATGTGTCTATTGTGAAATTGTGTGAGTAAACCGGTAAAATTGATACATAAGAAGATAAATGCGTGTACTGTGTGTGTGAATGTATACGTATTGATACACATGGCATTATTTTCTGAATCTACTTTCTACAATGGCATTATTGTCCGCATAATAATGTACACATACACACACACATATATATATATACATATACGTACATTTATTATGCATATTTACTTGGCCCAGTCGCAACTATGTTGGTCTAACCGACCAAGCAGAGAATTGCCCAAGTAGAATAGGTTTTGCTTAGTTGGTTGGGAAAGCAGCTGTATTGTTTGAAAACTGAAGCAACCAGAGCCATGTCCAGCCAGGGCAACACACAGGTTGTTGTGAAGAAATGACTTTCAGTGGCTGTCCGGGTTAAAGGGCGTCAAGCAGGTAGACATTTCTCAACGACTACCGCCGGGTAAGTAAATTCGAAATTATGTTGGTACTGCCACCTCGGGGAGGGGCATTCAATGACCTACACCTGTACCAATACCATCCTATACCATCCTATACCATCCTATACCATCCTATACCTCACTTATATACATTTAGCTCCTCTGTGTATGTGTATGTGCGTGTCATGCATTCGAAGTTGTACTTATGTAGCAAAACTTGCAACTTTGCAGTGCCAAGTCACTCATTCTCACGGCGCATGGATCCATCAAATCAGATATTCATTAAAGGCAGTCCCAGACTTTGGAAATTGTGTGCTTTCAGAAACAAAGGTCGAAAGGGCGTGGCGATCAATTTTGTTACGAACAATGACGTTCGCATCATGAAGGACCTTGAAAGGCCGGTTTGCCTATATGTTTGCCTTGGCACAGACCAGAATGTTGCTGCTACATGCTGCTACACAGCATTTGTGACAGTCCAGCCTCTTGTTCTGCCGCTACAAGTTGGGAGTTGCACAGCCAAGTCTCGCTCATCCTCTCTCCATTTCTTGCTTGCAACATCCATTTGCAACCTGTACATGAGTTGCCAGTCCTTTACAATTATCCAGCATCCACATAAACCCGCAAATGTGTGAAAAGTTGCTTGAGACCTTTGAATGCGGTTGGCAGAAATGGGCAGACACTTGTCATGGAAATGGCGGAGTACTGGACATCCTCGTTACTCCATCGTTCTAGCACGGTCACTCCGCAGGTTCTACCACACCCAGATCGAGGAGATGCCAATGGACATCGCCGACCTGATTTGAGCAATGAATTCGTCGTAAAAGGTGAGGCACTGATCAAATTGATTCAGGTTTCGTCTCTATCAACAAGGTAACAAGGCAGTGCGTGTTTTTCTTTATTTTTTGCGTTGTGCTTTTCTAATGACGCTACAGCTGGCAGCATTCACAATGTGGCTCAGCTTATATGTTTCAATGATCATATCTTATACAATGATCATATCTTATACAAGGCTCTGCCCACTGAATGGCATCATGTTCAGTTGACTTTGGACAGCGTGCTTATCATACCAAGGCGCTCATGCCAAGATATTTGTGTTACATATTGTCACCGGGTTTCTCCTGAAAATCCACAATTGATCTACTTGATGAATCTTGATAGTTGTGGATGGGTTGCCAGCTGCAGATGCTTTGCTGATTGCTGATCCCTGCAGGCTGTTGCCAAAAGGTAACTGGCTGGAGTCACTGCCCAAGACCAACAACCTTCAACATCTTCAACTAAATTGTCGCATATTGTCGCCTAAGTCCAGCACTTCATCCGATATTTATGGAGATCCAACGCCAACTGCAGTCCTGTTATGTTCTATTGAATTATTAAAGTTCGCAAAGCGTGATTGACGTGCCACACCTTTGAAACTGTTCAGCCTTTTCAGCGTTGGAAAATGTTGGGAACATCCTTGAGGTGAACAATGACGAACAAGAGACACAGCGACATGCGCGTGGCTTCAGCTGGTAAACAAGTGCTGCCATTAAGTGATATGAATTGATCAAGCTCGTTGATGTGGTTGTGGCCTTCCCAATGACTTTGCACACTCTTGCATCAGTTTGCTCGAATCTAGTTTACCATTTCTCCCACGGTTTGCAGTATGCGGTGGCTAGGCAACGGTGATCGTAACCGTATGTCGGCTCGGACTTTGCTTTCCCAATCGGAGAAATTGGTTGCAGGATGAGGGCCCAAACACCAGTGCGATACATGTGATTGATATAATGATATAATATATACAGTACATATTACGCATGTGGGCAAGACATGGCTAGACAAGGCAAGAGAGGGGCAATAAACAAGAGAACCAAAACAATGGCACTGTTGAGTACAACTGTTGAACCATGTTGAAGCTGTAAAAATTGACATGGGAGCTTTGCACGAATATCACAACATGCACAGCTAGACAGTCCTTGCCCAGCGTGTTTTTCGCAAGGCACGGTCTTCTGGCGTTGCGCTTCAATCATTTTCAATCATTTTGAACCTTACAATCACAGACACTGTTGAGGAGTGACGTGGAGTTACTATCAGATAATGCCTTCCAAGTCCAGAATGCTCTTTGTTTCCAACACACTGTTGTAATTTCAGAAGTGGCTCAACAAACGCGTTTTGAGTTTGAGAATGTTCTCGTCGAAGGTGATCTTCACCGATTAGCAGCTGCAGCAAGCTTGCTGTGCACAGGCAATTGCAACGGGGGGCACGAGCAGTTTGCCTTCACCACTTTCTTGTTTCTACGCCAAAAGGGCATAGCGGCGAAGCTTGCCCGAAGACCCTAAACATCTCAAAATACAGAGGGGTGCTAAATGCAGCCTGATGCAGCTAGCAGGTGACATGCTGCGTGCTAGTAGGTCACGTGCCTTGTAATGCCTAATGCCCTGCAATGCCTTGCAAAGCCTTGCAACGCCTTGCAACGCCTTGTAACGCATTGCAACGCCTTGCAACGCCTTGCAACGTCAATCCGAGAATCACACTCTTCCATGGAACACATGTCGCACGGGTCACACAGTGCTCAGCCCGCGCACTTCTTGGATCGTCTATTTCGTGTAGAAACCGCTTGAAGATTGTTGAAAGATGTTGAAAGGCTAAGCTCTGGCAGCAGTAGAACCTGCTACAGAGCTCCCTCGCTTTGCGCGGGCCTTCCACTCAAACAACCTTGCAAGCAATAGTCCAGACTAACTGTCCAGACACTGCAAAGCAATTGGTAGATCTTTGTAGGCAGGTACAATAAAGAGTCGACACTGACTTACGGGTGGTTATTGACTGATGCCTTGATCGACATTTGGCATCATGCCTTGAATTTTGCCGAGCTATATTGCTGCCCCAGATCCACTAGTAATGAACCGCTTGGCAACATGCCACACCCACATCCATACCGCTACTTGTGGTTGCTTTCTCCCATGTCAAAGGCAACTTGAAGGCTTGGGTTACAGAGCCATTGCTGTACCATGGGAGCTCTCCTTTCAATTTGCTTGGTCCTTTTTCGCTGCATTTCTCAATGCTCACTTTTTTTCTTGCGGCAGGGTCAGATTGGATTGATTTGCAGAGCTGAAAATGACACGCGCACACACACACATACCAGTATGTAAATCTATATATTCACACTGCAAAGATATCATATACCCGTAGTGCCGCACAAGGCGGTGGCGGAAGTTTCAAAGATAGGACGCTATAGGAGAGGTGAGTTGTTGTGATGCATGGATATCAAAGTGAATCCATTGATGGACCGAAAGGTGGTGGAGTTGTGCTTTTTGGAGTGGTTGCAGTGGTCACCTCAACCACAACTGCTGGATGCAGTGTGTTGTAGAGAGTACTGCAAAGCATTATGTGTAGTTGCAGTTGTAATTGTATTGTAGTGAAGCTGTAGCTGTAGTTGATGCAGTTGTAGTTGTAAATGTTGTAGTTCTAGCTGTAGCTGTAGTAGTCGTTGTAGTTGTAGGTGCAGTTGCAGTTGTAGTTGTAGTGTAGTGGGAAAGTGTGGTGAAGTGTGGTGAAGTGTGGTGAAGTGGAGTGTAGTGTAGCGGAGTTGGAGCTGGAGTTGGAGTTGTTGTTGTGGTTGTTGTGGTTGTTGTGGTTGTTGTGGTTGTTGTGGTTGTTGTGGTTGTTGTGGTTGTTGTGGTGGTTGTGGTGGTTGTTGTTGTTGTTGTTGTTGTTGTTGCTGTTGCTGTTGTTGGTGTGGGGTGGGGTGGCGTGGGGTGGCGTGGCGTGGCGTGGCGTGGTGTGGTGTGGTGTGGCGCGGTTGAACGTCCAAAAGTGGTCCGAACGTGGCGTGCTTTTCACATTTTGATTTCGAAAGGTGCTTTGCGCCACAACCGCGTGCACTTTTTAAACATCTCAACTTCCAAAAGCTCTCCAAACCCGTCAGTTTTTAACACTTTTGACTTCGAAATGTGCTTCGCGCCACAATGGCACGCACTTTTTCGACATCTCAACTTCCAAAAGTGCTCCGAGGCTGAGGTGTTTTGCACATTTCAACTTCGAAACGTGCTTCGCGCCACAACGGCGTGCAATTTTTCATCTCTCATCTGGCCAGATGGCTCCGCACCCGCCGCTTTAGTGAGCCTACTTTTCGACCCTCCGGAGCCACAAATCATCGGAAAAACACAGTGATCCGCGACTTTTCTACCTTTTCGCGCGCCTGCATCTTCTTTCCTCTGAGTCTTTCTCTTCTCTGATATTTTTTCTTCTTCTCTTCTCTTCTCTTCTCTTCTCTTCTCTGACTCTTCCCACCTCTGCTTTTCCATCTGTCCATATTGTCGGAAGTTTGACTTCTAAACTTCCTTCCCTAATTGTAATGAATTATATATACATATATATACATATTAATTATTTATATATATACATATATATGTGAATGAATGAGCGACGGCTTTTATTTGAATAACTGGAGAATAGTATTTAACTGTCTTCGGGGGTCGGGTCCTTCCCGTTGCGCCAGGGCCCGCGGGCATCTAGAGCCCGTACGGGCCCGTACAGCCCGTAGAGCCTGTAGTAAGGGCCCGTGGGCCCGGGCCCGTAGAGTCCGTGGAGCCCCTAGAGCCCTTAATGGGCATAAGGCCAGTCGTTCGTACAGTATATCCGACACGCCTTTTGGCTCTTTCTAGCTGACATATTCCGGAGACTTGCGCATAGTAGGTGAGGAACAAGAATATCAGAAATAGACAGACAGGTGTAAATTACCCGCGATAATGTAGGATAGTAGAAACGCCCGCGGACCCTGGCGCAACGGGAAGGACCCGACCCCTCAAGGAACCGGCTGACAGTGGTCACTCCCGAATGGTCCAAATCAAAAAGAACAAAGAGTAGATGTGCGACACTCACTACATGTTTTTGCTGTATTTACAGTGAGTGATGTCAGTCGATTCAGTTGTGCTGTATTTTTCATGTTTGCCGTGTTGCACTTGTGTATATATAACGCGACGGTTGATATATTGGTTATAGATACCGTGGCGATAGCCTCACGTTAGGATATACATAGAACGGTGCGACCGTGACTAGATTTGTAGCTGTTGAGCGAGCGTAGTGACCCGTGTTTTTCCATGGGAGGCTTTGGGATGGGAACTTTATTTACATAAGTAGCAGGGCTATGACCATTTTTGGTTGCACCAAACCACGCTTCTCCAACGCCCTCTCTTTCCCATAAGTCACCGCGCCCTTCGCGTAGTATAGCGCGGCTATACGAAGGTGATCTTAATGTAAACCGTCTCACGCACGTGGGAACAAATGCATGTTTTTGCGTCGGATGTTCGTTGTGTTCACAATGATTTTTTCAAGAAGTGGCAGTGCCGTATGGTAATGCACAGATGATTCAGAAACATCTGGCCGACGCAGCGTAGAAAAGACATCGAAGTCCTTGGTTAGATCTCAGCATCCCCTTCTCCAGTAACGAATGTATTCTTGACAGACGTTCAGATGCCCCTGTGATGTAAGCATGTTTATGCTGTTCATATCACAACATCCTTGTGGCTTGTAGCTTGTCCGTTGTCATGCTTGATGTGGTGAGTCCAAACAGACAAGAGACCAGCGCTTCATCTCTAAAAAAAAGTGTCTGCTTGCTGCCGTGTCAAACAGAAATCGTTTTCCGGAGACTTGCGAGAGTTTCCCACAGAATCAATATCTGTATGTATATGTCTTGCGGTTTTTTCGAGTATAGACGTATATGTATATATATATATATATGTAGAGTATCTATATCTAATTATAGTTAAAGAGTCGGATACTTAGTATTGTTAAATACTAGTGCATCCAATATTCGTTGTAAAATAGTGGTAATTAAGCCCGATACTTTGCCATTTGGGTTATTGACAAATGTTTTTTTGATCGTTGGGTGTATCTGTTGCTTACCGTATGAATCAGCATTTTCTGTTGCCTTCCGCTCAGGTCTGGAGAATTTCACTTTCTGGTTTGAAACTTTTGAGTACGTTCGAATCTTTCTATTCTTCTGTATCTGTAACCGTAAGGCCCGTAAGGCCCGTAAGGCCCGGAGAACCCGTAGGGCCCGTAGGGCCCGTAAGGCCCGTAGAGCCCGTAGAGCCCGTGGAGCCCGTTGTCGTTCAGAAGGGCTCTTCTCGCCTTCGGCGGGCTCCGCCGGCTACCATGGAAAGAACAATCTTGCAAGCCACAAACACCGCTTGCACAGCCCCAGCAAGAACATGGTTTTTGTTTGTTTTTGCGTGTTTTTGTGTAATACATTGTGTTTGTGATTGTTTGTGTATAGCACGGTTTTTGTGTAAAACAGCGCTTTGAAACCCGCTTTGTGTAAAAGACGGTTTTCACGCAAAAACATGGCTTTTGTTCAAACCACGGTTTAAGCTTAAACCAAATCATGTGTGTATATAGGCCAGGGTTTTGGAAAAGACCATATACAGAAAGGTCATGCGTGCAAAAGAGGTTCGGCGCAAAAGCCAGTGGATCAAGTATTGAATATAAGAAGCGACGGAGCAAACCAATGGCAAACACAACAAAAAAGAGGAAACAACCATCGAAATGACAGCAAGATGTGCAAAACCAAGCCGGTGTTGAGCGAGGCGTGGGCAGGTTGAGCCTAGCACAACGTAAGGAACAAGGAAGACGAAACGAAGATGGCGCGGCGGGGGGTTGGGGAGGGGGGGGGTGGAAAGAGGGGAGGGGGGCGGAAGGGGGGGGAAGGAAGTGGTTTCAAGTTAGTTAGACGAGGCAAAAATCCGCGCCAAGGGGAAAGCCTAGACAAAGACAAAGACAAAACAGATAGTACAACTAAACAATCAAGATCCACAAGACACACCAGCAGCCCGGCGGATTGTGGTGCACCCCGGTTTGTCAAAAACATTATATTTGCAAGTAGGATGTAGGTGTAAAACGAGGTAGGAACATCCCGAGAACGAGCTAGGCATCGCAAGTAAAGCGCTTAGCTAGCAGAAATCAATGCGGCATTGGAGAACGAGGCCAGGCCCCATAAAATGTGACGGGTCTGGAGAATGAGGTAGGAACACCCCGACAATTGCGTTTTGTACCAAATACATTCCGCGGCTTACATATTTATATTTAATAATGAGTTTAATTAATCAAAAAAACAAAAAATATATAATTTAATCAATTAATGAATTAATGAACTAATTGATTAACTAATTAATAAGTTAGCTCGCTATAACCTTAAATATACATCTGCATGTATATATACACATGTATATTTATCTTTACAGTACATATTCAGGTGTATGTATATATGTAAATAATATCTTCCATCGGCCTTAATCTTCTGTTACGTGTCTGCATACGTGCCTGCATACATACAGACATGCATACATGCATGCATGCGCTGTGCGCACACATAGACATACCTTTTGAGTTTGTTATGTATAGTGTAGCAGCAGCTTTACACCTCTGTTCACAGCGCAGCTTCAATTTCCATTCGGGCCTAATCAGTACGTCTAACAACGTTTGCCTTTCCATTGAGTTTGGCGAAACATATTTATAATCATCGCAGCTTGACGGCTTTAAGGCGTACCACTTATTTATGAGTCCCATACTTAACATTTGGGCAAAAGCGTGGCAGGGAAGTTGGGCTTGAAACTAAGAACAGGCCATCAGACACCCAACAGTTTAGACACGTGAGTCACAGATGTGATGCGAAATAATCTAGCAATTGTTTAGAGTATCCTGGAGCCACCTATGGTTCAGTTACTATTTGCTCTTTTGGCAATGGAAGAAGTCAAATGATTCCAGTAGGTGGGATAATTTCATCATTATATATATATATATATAGATATATATATATATATAGATAGATAGATAGATACATCTTTATGTATATATATATATGTCCTTAGGGTCCTTGACATGCCCTGACCATACCTTGGTTTTCTTTCATCAGCTTGACATTGCAGTTACTCCCAGACATACAAGAACGCAAGGCACCAAATCTTTCCGGCGATTGTGCAGTGTCCCATATTTGCATTGCAACCTTTTCACAAGGAAGGTAGACTTTTTGATGGTTCTTGACTGGTGAGTGTCAAGGGTGCCATGTGTCAAACTCATGGCCTGTGGGCACGTGTTCCCACCTTCTCGGTACCAACGCTGCAACTGAGGAGGCTTGCAGAGATTTGGAAACAAAACGCCAGCCATGATCATGCCTTTTTATGCCTTTTCTGGCTGCAACATGGCCTTTGTATTGCAGGCAAGGAGCCTGCAGCTGGTCGGATCCGTTCTTAATACGTCCAATTGGATGTCTTATGTGCCAGCCCGGCAAGTTTCTCAGCCTGCCTTCTGCATGCATGTGTGATTCGAAGCCTAACGATGGTCAGGTGTTACAGACTTATGGATTTATGCTGCACACGGGCATTGCATTTCGCCCAGCGAATACCCGATGATTTTAGTCGATTCAGCATCTTCATACAGGTCTCGCTGGCACGGTGATCGTAGTTTGTGCTGCCTAACTCCCCCCATGAGCGAAGGTTGGTTTAGCCTAAATATGCTTCTTGGCAATTTATCTTTGTACGTAAAGTTTAGCAGAGTGCTTTGTGTGGCTCCAGTGACTGACAGTTTGGCAGGTTTTCTGGACAAATCCGAAGGCGAACATGCCTAGGCAATTTGACATGGCGCTGTGATGTGCTGTGTGCTCTGATGCTGTTGGGCAGGTTGCGCGGTATTCTGGTCATGAAACGCGCATTACATCTTAAACTGCTTCAGGCCGATTCTTCAGTAAACATCCTTTTGCTGCCATTGCGTGGACCCAAGAAACACAGGACGGAAAACAATCATGTAGAATACAAAAGTACCGCAAAAGGACTAGAGATGCCTGCTGAGGATTGGTCAAACACCTAGGTTTTCAAATGTTTTCAAGTTCCAATAATGGTTCTTTTATCGCGTTCAACTGGTCCATGGGCAAAGCAATAAGACATTTGAAACTCCCACTGCTGTGCCCACGTAAGAACAAGCGACATCACGCGGCCTTGAACCTTGTTTTGACGCGCGGGAGATTTGTGGTTCAAGCAACATAGAGAAAAATGGGGCAGCAAACTCGATGGGCTCCAGTGATTGAAGAAGGTGATGGAAGAATCCAAGGTGCAACTCCCTTGGAGTGCTCGCAGCCAGTGCTGACACGCAGCCAGCTCCATGCCTGCAGGAAATTCAGCAAACTGGGCTCTTCGCTGCAGGCTCTGGGGCATGTCGCACCCGTGGTGGCCATGGACACCTCACACACACACACACACACCAGTGACAGAACTTGCTGCAGCAATTGAGACTCGTGTGTCCACCCCCGGTGTCCCGCTGGCAGGAAGGCCTCTAATGCGGATCCGGCTCCCCTTCTGCTTGTGGAACTGATCCTGCAGCTGTGGCCACACACTCCTGGCTCCTGAGCAAGTTCTCCACGAACTCTTCGCTGCAGCTGCTTCAGTTCTCGCTTGCGCGCGCTCCCCATCAAAGCACAAGCTACTCGGCTCCGCTCGACTTTGGGGGCTTTCCTCCTGCAGCTGGAAGAGACGCTCTCCCTGACAGCCGTGTGCACCCACATCGCAACAGAACATTGCAATGCTGGCGTGTCACAACTTGGCTGGTCAGAAGCGCTGCACGGCTCTGAAGGAGCTCTTGCGACATGGCTGGCACGGTCTTTTCCATGTCGAACCGCTCCTGGCCTGTTGCAGGTGCTGCTACCCTGACATATTCCATGATTCAGTTGCTTTCTCCACCACGTTTCACAGGATTCCAGCCAGTGACTTCCTTCCTCAGTTGCACCCACCACATTTCCCATGGTTCCAGCGGGTGATTTCCTACTTCAGCCTTCATACACGTCTAGCGCGTGATTTCCTTCTTCATGCAGTTGCTTTCTCCACCAGGTTGCACAGGGTTCCAGCAGGTGATTTTTGTTGCTTCAGTTGCTTTCTCCACCAGCATGAATGAGTCCAGGTGGATGCGTATGCGTATCCACAGGTCAACAAGCATCCGCTGTATGTGTATCCGAATGCCTTCTGTGTGTATGCGCACGCGTCTATATGCTAATGATACGTTTAGATAGAAGAATCTGCGACTGTTGCTGGGACCCCTAAGTGTTTTGTGTCAGCGACTGAAGTCCCCAAATCTGCCGGGCCCGTTCACCATGGCACCTCCGCAGTGTTTTCAGTGTGTCTGAAGTTGTTTTTGGGGTTTCAGTGTCGGTTCACATGATGATGAGAGAATATCATCGTGATCTTCCACTTGATGTCCAGTAGACTTGACACCCAGAATTCCCGTTGGCCCTGCAGTATCAACTTGTCCACTGGGGCGAGGAGCATACAGAGACTGGCATTTGGAATTATCCCTGCGGCAGCTACCGAGCCCTCATTTTCATGGAGAAGCCACATTTGCCTTTGGTTTTGATTGCTCTTGCAGGTCCTCGTCAACCACCTTCAGACCTTTGCACTGTTCAACACTGCCTGGCCTACGCGTGGTGCAAGTCTGCGAGCTGAAGCTGGGCGCTGGTAGGATATGCTGGGACGAGCCGACTTCGAACACGCGTTATAAACGGGGATTTCCGGCCGACTGTGAGTTGATCAAGCTTCGCATGGTGGTGCTATATGACGTGGACAGGATTTTGCCAAAGACTTCAAAAGGCGCATCAACTTGAGTGCACCAAGCAGTGCGACCGAGGAGCCTTCTCCACATACCCAGCAACCAAGGTGATCGAAATCTTGCAAATTATGAAGGACGTGGCGAAATTCAACCCGCAAGGACTTGCACGAATGACTGAGCACTGCAAAAACGCGCAGGCGCATTGCTTTTTCCATAAAACAGCCCAAACGTTTGCGTGGGCCTTTCGGCCCTTGAGCGCAGGCCCAAACCATATTGAGGCTGCAGACAGCAACTTGACGACAAAATGCACCAAGACTGTCAGCTTTGGGAAAAAGGAAGGCTTCGTTCGCTTCTGGAAAAGGCATCTGGGGAGATATCATTGAAGTTTAAGAATGAATTAACCACAAACCGCGTCCTTTGAAACTTCTTCGGTTAACGACAGAAAAAATCCAGACAAAATGCACACGCTCTGCTCCCAGAATGCAAGATAGCAAGACAAGCCCCAATGGAGCCGGAATTCTGATCATCACTCAGGACGCGCATGGAAAAGCATGAAAAGCATCCAGATTCAACATTGTCAGGATCAAATGTCGAAAACCCAGTTTGGATCTTCTTGCAGCCCAACTTTGAATTCACACGAAACGCAGTGGCAATGCCCGGCTGGGGTGCGTACCTGGGCCGCAGCATTGTGAGGCAACCATCCGGACAATCTCCACACTGAAAAAGCCATGTGAACACTTCAACGTGCTTGGACACCGCACCGTAACCCCATGCAACTACTTTGAGCGCAAAGAGGTAATCAAAGGAGGTGTAAGATTTCTGCAGGAAGAGCTGATACTCAAAAGCTGAGCCCAGCACCAGGCAAAATGCACAGGCCCTAGCCACTTGGAAATCGCGTTAGCACGGAGGGCTAGAAGCTCAGGCCCTGCACTGAACCTTGAGAAAATGGGCAGCTGCGCACCTTTGCCGCAGGGCACTGCAATCATTTTGCGAAGGACCATAAGATCTTACAGATCTTCTGACCTCGACCTGGGTCACCTTTTCTTGGCTTGCGCTTCTCACCAGGAAAAGTTACGGGTTTCAACTAGTTTCTTGTGCTTCTTGGACTGGGCGCCGGAAGTGGGCGCACCCCTGTCTTCTACTGGCCGGGGCTTGCAAGATGCGCTTTTCTAGGTCAGTAAATTCTTTTTGCCTGCTGTGCTCCAGCTTTTCATGCATTTCCATCGCTTGCTTGCCAACCTCAGGTTCATACTTTGCCTTGGAAATCTCGTAGCTGCGCCAACTCTGACCTCTCATGGAATGCTTTGCTCTTGCCTCTTTCTGAGGAGTCGGAGAGTGGCCGAGGAAGGGCTGCAGAATGGCTTTTTTAATTTTTCACTGGAAATGCAGCCGCTCTGCCAAGCACATGGTCAAAGCTTCTGAAGCCAAGAGAAACAAGCACGAGCCACATGCATGGGAATAGTTTGTCCCTGGCTGCAGTGGCCATATCTTGCTCTTAGGCCACCCAGCACTGGCTGCCATCAACTGCAACGCAAGGCAAAAGGCCACAGGCCTGGGGCTGGCCAATCCAAGTTACCTAAAAAATAATCCGGGTATTGAGCAGAAATCGCAAACGAAAAACATGTGGCAGGAACAGAAGGAAGAACGAGACAAAGGAGTGAAAATCAGGGACGCCTATGGAAAACAAAGCACCCTTGATTCTCTTTTTTGGCCACTGGGGTTGTTTCAGATCGAACAGTGATAGCTGCCTTCTGCCAGCTTGGAAAGGGCAGGATGCACAAGTTTCCAGCGTCTGAACTTCCCAAGGAATATGCTTAGCAGAAAGCCTTTACCAACTCTCCAAGGTCGTGGTGCAGCGGCCCGATATTCAACTCAATTGTCCCTGTGCCTTCCACAATCAACATGTCACGCCAAGGGCGGCGCCTTCCCACTGAATTCGAGAAGTCAAACTGGATGTCTGCATATACCAGTAGTACCGCACAAGGCGGTGGCGGAAGTTTCAAAAATAGGAAACCTATAGCCTATTAGTTGGTTGTTGTGAATCACGGATGGCAGAGCGAATCCACTGATGGACCCAAAGATGGTTGGAGTTGTGTTTTTTGGAATGGCTGCAATGGTTGCAGTGGTCACCTGGTCGGTCACATCACCCACAACCGCTGGATGTAGTGTGGCGTAGTGCAGCTGTAGTTGTAGTTGTAGCGTAGCGGAGTTGTAGTTGTCGTGTAGTGTAATTAGTGTAGTGTAGTTGCAGGTGCATTTGCAATGAGTGTAGTGTAATGAATCGGCCCCAAGGGAAAATGATCACAATTAGGTGGTGTAATGAGTGTAGTGTAAATGTAATGTAGAGTAGTGTAATGTAGTGTACTCTTGTGTAATGTAGTTGCAGCTGTAGTTGTAGTTAGTCTAGTGTAGTGTGGTGTGGTGTGTTGGGGTGTGGTGTAGTGTGGTGTAGTGTAGTGTAGTGTAGTGCAATGTAATTAGTGTAGTGTAATGTAGTTGTAGCTGTAGTTGTAGCGTAGCGTGATGTAATTGAATGTAGTGGAGCGAAGTGGAGTGGAGTGTAGTGTAAGTAGTATAGCGTAATGTAATGTAGTGTAGTGTAATGTAGTAGTAGTTGCAGTTGTAGTTGTAGTTGTAGTTAGTGTAGTGTAGTGTAGCGTAGTGTAATTGAGTGTAGTGTAGTGGAGTGTAGTGTATTGTAGCGTAGTGTAGTGTAACGTAGTTGCTGTTGTAGTTGTAGTTGTAGTTGTAGTGTAGTGTAGTGTAGTGTAGTGGTGGTTGTAGTTGACACTGCCACAAGACCCTGACGTTTTGCTCGTTTTGCTCACTTTTGACAATAAGGTGCACAATCCCCGCGCCTGCCACGCCAAAAAAAAAAACGACATTTGAACGCCCAAAAGTGCCCCGTACCCCCAAGTTTTTTTTTGCATTTTTGACTTCGAAATGTGCTTCGCGCCACAACGGCGTGCAATTTTTCATCTCTCATCTGGCCAGCTGGCTCCGCACCCGCCGCTTTAGCGAGCCTACTTTTCGACCCTCCGGAGCCACAAATCATTGGAAAAACACAGTGTTTCGCGACTTTCCTACCTTTTCGCGCATCTGCATCTTCTTTCTTCTGACTCTTTCTCTTCTCTGATCTTCTCTCTTCTGCCCTTCTCTTCTCTGACTCTTCCCACCTTTGCTTTTTCATCTGTCCATATTGTCGGACGTTTGACTTCTAAACTTCCTTCGGTTAAGGAAAGGAAAAGCAGCTTGCAAACACTTTCTACCAACGGCTTGCCAAAAATGCATCATCGAAGTTAAAACAGCAGCGGTGAGGCCTTTGAGCATGTCTGCGATTGCGATGATTTTGGACGGTGAGAAGCGGAACCATGCAATGCGCCTCTTTGCATTCTGTAACGTGATTGTGGTTTTCATGCCAAGCTCACCCGCCCTTTGCTGAAGTTGCTGCGCTTCATGAATAGATACCCTTAGCTGGAGCAACAACTTCAAAAAAAATCGCAGGCTGCTATCTGAACTCCATGAGCTGCGCGGAGGCATGATTTTCTTGACGCAACTGTGATGAAGCTTCTGCCACAACCGTACTGGCCCTTGCCAGAATTTCGAATACAGGGTAACATAACAAAATGGAAGCAGGAAATCACCACGAACGACCCCAAGCCTATGAGAAAGTTCATTGCCCAAAACGAAGCACAGCGTAGAAACCAACCAGGTGTCTGCAATGTCGGCGTGAGCGATGTCAGAGCAAAAGTACATAGCAGCATCGGGTATATGGCAGAGTTTATTGCCCATGCCCACTTTGTGTTTTATCATCAGGAACAAAAGAACAAATGCAACCTCGTCCGACACAGGCCTTGCAACATACTTGTCATAAGATGATTGTGTAACATTTTGCTCATTCCATCGCCTTTTCGACTCTGTAGAAATAGGAGCCTGAGAAACTTGCCGTGGAGGATTGCCAAAATTAAAGCGGAAAGCCTGGCTGCTGATTTCTGCAGACGGCGACGGGCGTACAGGTACATGAAAAATTCGCTTGACCAAATGAGTCGGGCAATCGCAACAGATGGCGGCGCCTTTTCTGCACAAAAAGGCGCGTTCTTTGCTACGGAAACTTGGGACCTTTTCTGGCAGAGAGATGTGTTTGTGGAGTCGATCATCAGCGCTAAGCACCGCTGAGCATAGCGGCGCAAGGTGAAGCTTGGCCCGAACCGCAAAGTGCTGTGAGGAGGGAAAACCCCGCGCTTGCAGCCACTTGTCAGGGATATTCTGGGTGTCTTTGCGTTTGTAAGTTGATTTGAAATAAATAATCAGGGCGCACAGGGGCAAATTGCCCCGCTGACTTCCATGAAAAAAGCATTGCCTTTAATCACAGACAGCAAGAACAAAGAAGAGAAGCAGGGGTCAAAAATCCACAGCGGCCCTTGCAATTCTGTCGCAAAGATCTCCCTCTGCAGGGAAACACAGTAATACTACTTGTCAAACTTCTCACTCCAAAAGTTCAATCCTTCATTCCTGCGCTCTTATTCAGAGGTCGGACCCCGAGGACAAAATGAGGAACGTCATTTTGCCAGGTTGTGTGTGGCAGCCAAGCCTATATCTCAACTTATGCGCTTCGCCCTCAGGCGTCTTTTACTGGGTACAGTATAAGCGTTCCAAAAGGCAGCGGGAGATTGTTCTACAAAAGATTTTCGCGTAGACTGACCAAACCCACTGTATCTCCAGCTTTCAGACCACCATCGATACACGCAAAAGGGGTCAGGAGAGCCTTGTACTAACAAGGCCTGCAAAGCAAAGATCTTTTCCCGCGGGGCGCTCTATTGCTTCGGCCAGTTGTCAAGGCAGGTCCGCACATCCGGCTCCAGCAGGCTGAGGACCCCCTTAGCCTTTGGTGTCCAGCAATGGAGCGAAGTGAGACATAGCCCCGGGCAGAATAAAGAACACGGAGGGAAAACCTCCAAGGCAGATGAAGATCTTGTATGCTGGCGGAAAAAAGCCAGGCTACCAAAACCACCACGCACAATTTTTCAGCCTGTCATCAAATCCTTGTGGGAACCTTCTGCTTCGCTGCTTTTGCGCAGCAGCATAGCCACCAATTTCAACAAATCAAGGCGCCAAGTCTCAGTACATTGTCTCAGTTGCTCTTGGGGACATACGGAAGGGATTGCACAAACAATAAGCGGAGTAGAGGATTTTCACCACCACATCGGAGATCTAGGAGCCTTGCCAAGAGCAAGACCAGTCATGCGGCAGGGTGTGCAGAATGGACTTTACTGAAGTTCTTTCAACCCAAGGTCGGCAACTGGCATGCGGGGTTGTCCCGACATCGGTCACGCTGCCCCAAATTCACCGGGTGAGTGGACTGAGCACTGCCAAGACGCACAGGTGCATGGCTCTTTTCCTCCATGCGGGCCTTGCGCACAGCAATAAATCGACCAAATGCACCAAGACTGTCAGCCTTCGGAAACATGAAGGCTTCGTTCGCCCCTGGAAAAGGCATTTGGGGAGACATGATTGAAGTTTAAGAATGAATTACCCTCTGGTAATTTAACGTAGCTATTGAAAATGACCATTAATAGTGGATTTTCCCATTAAAAATGGTGCTTTTCCATAGCTACGTTAAATTACCAGAGGGTAACCACAAACCGCGTCCTTTGAAACTTCTTCGTTTAACGACAGAAAAGTCCAAACAAAATGCACACGCTCTGCTCCCAGAATGCTAGATAGCAAGACAAGCGCCAATGGAGCCGGAGTTCTTGTCATTACTCAGGACCCAAGCATGGGAAAGCATCAAGGTGGAACATCTCAAGATCAAGAGCCGAAAACCAAGTTTGGATCTTCTTGCAGACCAGCTTTGAATTCGGCCTGGGGGTGCGTACCTGGGCCACAGGATCGTGAGGCAACCACCCGGACAATCTTCACATTGAAAAAGCCAGAGGACTAAGAATGCTAGAAGCAGCCGTGTTAATTGGCACTCCATTGAGCATGTCAACGCGATTGGACACCGCACTGTAATTGAACACCAAGACCTGATGAGCCACAAGTGAGGAAAAAAGGCCCGCGCGGCTCTTTTGAACCACTGACGTGCAGCACCATGTTGCACCATGTTGCGCCATCTCTTCTGATGCTTCGCATGTACGAACTGAATTAGCTGTGCTCTGACGATTGTTTTTCATTGGGAGTGTAGGCCCATCTGTGGAAACCATTTTTTTCCGAAAGCTCCTGCCGATGGTTTTCCTGCCAGATTCAACTTTCCACTTCATCTACATACCAACATGTCCTACTTCCTCTGCATCACCTACATCGCGTACACCAACTTCATCTACATCGCATACATCATCTACATCTACATCAACTTCAATCAACTTCATCTTCATCTACATCATCTAGATCAACTTCATCTACATCACATACATCATCGACATCGTTGACATATCTCCGGCAAAACCCCTACAATGTCATTTACACAGGAGCCATTGCACAGGGGTTGTTACACAAGAGTTGTTACACAGGAGTTGTTCTACAGCCAACACGCACCTCGCTGATGATATTTGGCTACGACTTGGCCCCAATATGGAAGACCTTTTGTAAATGCTAGCGCCTTGCAAGAGCCCTGAACCTCTCCCACTCATTCAGTCAGTTTTCCTTGCCATGCCATGCGACCATGTAGTGACAGCATCCAAATGGAAAAAACCACCTGCCCGCTGGATTTGCTGGCATCATGGGACCTGAGGACTCATACAGAAAACATTGAGCGCACACAGAAGTATACGATCTCAAGTTCACTGTCGAGGTAGTTCTTGGCTTCGTGCTGCACCATGCCGACGCCGTGGACCCAAGAGATTTCCATGCTGGTGCTGGAAAGCTACCTTTGGCATCCTTTGGCCCAAGTGGCGTCCATTGGCATCCTTTGACTTGGTCTCAACTCAAACAAACATTTTCTCAGATGTTCTGTGGCATGTTTGTAGTTTCGATTCGCTCAGCAACAAAGCGTTTTCACCTGCTACGCGAAACCAAGGGTGGCGCCTTTGTTTCGATTCGACGCTTTATGACCTCGCGAAGTTTGCACGCAGAGGTTACATGAAGTTGAAGTGTGTTGAATTTTTCAGGTCCCTTCAAGTCTTGTCCTGATGTGACATGGTGTCATCATATGTCCAGAGCGCAAGGTTTGGAAGAGGCATCGTTCTTCGGTTTGTGTATTTTTTCGAAGATTTGTTAGGCTGATGACGCTAGAATCGCAGTGCCTACTCCTAGCAAGGCACGTTTTTTGTCCCAACATCCCCTTGTGTCCTTGTTTTGGCAGATGCACTTGCAGGATATGTTAATTATGTTTATTTTTTGAATCCCTGCGGGAGGTTGCAGAGATCGAAAAGTTGCTGACTCAGGTGCACATGTTCATTTGAAAAACGGAAACAAATTAAACACGATGAAAAACGAGGGGGGCAGGGATCCCCAGAGCAAAGAAGTTGAGATTGTGACAGCAGAGACAGGCAGTGAGACAATGACAAGGGATGCGGAATGATATGAGATATTGTGAAATATATTGTGAGATCATGTGAGTTGAAAGAGGTTTGACATCTGAGAATGTCATTTGACATCCTGCGTGCCAAGGCCTGATGTGTCTGAATTCCATCAGGAGTCCCCGGAAAAAGCCGGAGTTTCAAGAAAATGTCAGGGAAACTGTGGAAAAACTAATTCTGAACATTGAAATGTCTTGAACTTGATTGTACTTTATTTGCGTTTCGTGGCGTTGCTTGGGGCGTCATGTTCGCCTATGTCCCAAATCTTTGCTTCCGATGAGTTCTTACCTTTGTTCAAGCCATAGTAGCAAGTCGTTACACATTGTGGGAACGAAACTACAATATCGATATGTTTTTCCGACTTTGTTTGCTTCTTGCCTCGATAGGTATCGGAAGGCCCGTGGCAAATGGTCATGGCCTCAACCTTGCAGGAGAAGGGTACAAAATGAAATATTTCTGACACAGTTTCAATTGGTTGCCCATGCTTTCACAATCTTTTGCGAGGCACAGGCTGCTTTACGCGATTTGCTTGATGCCAGTGAGGCGGACAAGTCTCATGCCGGCTTGGCAGTACATGAGCGTGACTTTGAGACCGGAATGCGAAGTCATACAAGACTAGACATGATTTATCGTGATTCGTTTTTTTCTGTTCCTATGAATTTGTCGCGATCAAAGGGAAGCAGTAGATGGCTAGATTCTCTGTTTGAGTTGCAGTGCTTGCCAGACGGGTACATGGATGTAAATGGTAGTGGCAATGAAGTCCTGCACCAAGTGTATGTGCTGGTTGTAGGGTAGATATTTGGGTAGTGAGGAATTCTTCGGAATTCAATGATGTCGTGATATTTTATGTTCAATGATTTGGGCTAATCAGCTGCCTTGACTGGCCTGACTGGGACCATGTGAATCACACAGCTGCGTCCTGGAGGTTCTTGTGTCTTAAAATCTTAAAGCCCAGCTTGAGTTCTAGGCACAGAAGCAACGTGTGGCCAATGCATCTGCCTCTGGAGGCGCCGTGCATCACCTTGTCACGTAGGGATACGTAGTGTATCGTAGTATCATTGTTGCGTGTTAGGCAGAACTTGTCTTCCAGTAGCCACTCTCAGTAGACTCAGTAGACTCTCTGATCTCTGAGTATGCTCAGTAGATCTCAGTAGTCTGTCTTTGTCTGACCTTTGCTTGCCTCTAAAACTCTAAACAGTTATGTGAAAATTTGCAGTTCAATTCATTCGAGACTTCTGGCGAGCTTCTGAAGCATAGTAGAATTTGCAGCTTTGACAGCCTTGAACATTTTGAACCGGAGTTTGAGAGTGTCTTCTTCGGGCTTATGCGCGCCGGTACCTAGTACATGTCATATGTTAAACACATATGAGATAATGATAGATAATGTGAATATTTAATGATATGTACTATCTACTCATCCTGGAGTATATGGACAATAGAATATGGACAATTCAGAAAACATCGCTAAAGTTGGAATATGTACCAGTAGTACCGCACAAGGCGGTGGCGGAAGTTTCAAGAATAGGAAACCTATAGGAGAGATTGGCTGTTGTGACTCACGGATGGCAGAGCGAATCCACTGATGGACCGAAAGGTGGTTGGAGTCGTGTTTTTTGGAGTGGTTGCAATGGTTGCAGTGGTCACCTCACCAAAACTGCTGGATGTAGTGTGGTGTAGCGCAGTTGCAGTCGTAGTTGCAGCGTCGTGTAGCGGAGTTGTAGTTGTAATGTAGTGTAATTAGCGTAGTGTAGTTGCAGCTGCAGTTGCAGTTGTAGTTGCGGTATAGTGTAATTAGTGTGGTGTAGTGTACTGTAGTGTTGTGTACTGTAGTGTGGTTTAGTGTGTAGTGTGGTCTAGTGTAGCGTGGTGTAAAGTAGGGTAGTCGTAGTGTAGCGTAGCGTAGTGCAGTGTACTGTACTGCAGTGCTGTGCACTGTAGTGTGGTATAGTGTAGCGTGGTCTAGTGTAGTGTATTGTAAAGTAGTGTAGCTGTAGTTGTAGTGCAGTGTGGTGTAATTATATAGTGTAGTGCAGTGTAGTGTTGTGTAATGTAGTGGTAGTTCCAGTTGTAGTTGCAGTTGTAGTTGTATTTGTAGTTAGATGTAGCGTAATGTAATGCAATTAGTGTAGTGTAGTGTTGTGTAACGTAGTGTAGTTGTCGTTGCATTTGCATGTGTGTTTGTAGCTGCGCGTACTGCAGTGTAATTAGGGTAGTCTAGTGTAATGTAGTGTAGTTGTAATTGTAGTTGTAGCTGTGGTAGCAGCGGTTGCGGTAGGTGGAGTGCAATTAGTGTAGTGTAGTGTAGTGTGGTGTAATTAGTCAGTGTAGTGTAATATAGTGTAATGTAATTACTGTAGTGTAATCAGTGTAGTGTAATGTAGCGTAGTATATTTGTATTTGTAGTTGTAGTAGTAGCGTAGTGTAGTGGTAGATGTGGTTGTAGTTGTAGTTGTCTATCTACCTATCTATCTATCTATCTATCTGTCTATCTATCTATCTACCTATCTGTTTGTCTGTCTGTCTATCTGTCTATCTGCAAGCTTGAAAATGAAGCCATTCTGCGAGACTTCCTCAGATCTTGATTTGGACAACATCAAAAACACAGCAATTCTGCGAGGCGTCCTCAATTTTTGAACTTGACAACGTCAAAAACGAAACAGGTCTCCAAGACGCCCTCTATTTTCGAAGTTGACATCAAGAACGAAGCAATTCTCGGAGACTTCCTTCAAAAGTGGAAAATTGGGTGCAGAGCTGACAGCCTCGTACCAATGTGTTTTGCGATTTTTCCAGTCCACCTGTCTAAAGTATTGCGCCTGCCACGAAAAAGTGACGCCAGGTCATACGCAGTGCTGCACCTGTCACGCAAAATCATCTTAGCAAACCTAAAGATCTGATGCTCCAAAATGCAACCCCTCTCAGGAAATCAGCGCCCTCCTAACATCTCTGATGAACATGTCTCTTGTATTGCGTCTGCCACGCGAAATTCATCTTTGCTGACCCTCTTCAAGTGTCCCATGCCTGCCAACGCTTTTGAAACTGCTACAAAACCCTCACGTTTTGCTCAGTTTTGGCAAGGTTCAGAATCCCTTGCGCCTGCCATGCAAAACGACATCTGAACGTCCAAAAGTGCTCCGAACCCGAACCCATCAGTTTTTTACACTTTTGACTTCGAAATGTGCTTCGCGCCACAACGGCGCACACTCTTTCGACAGCTCAATTCCTAAAAGCGCTCCGAAGTTGACGTGGCTTGTACATTTTGACTTTGAAATGTGCTTCGCGCCACAACGGCGTGCACTTTTTCGTCATCTCAATTTCCAAACATGGCCCGAACATGAGGTAGCAGGATCACTTTGGAACACAGTCTGAAGCGTCACTTTGGAACACAGCTATTTTCGACTCACTTTGGAACACAAAATGATACATATCATCAAAACAACGCCAACCACACAGACATGAGATTACTGACAGGCGCAATGCTTTGGAAGCCTGGCGCGTTCCAAAGCGAGACCTATGAAAGTTATAGTCGTTAGAAAGCCAAGCCTCTTCAAAATGCGCACCCTCACTCACTTGCGCGCCCAGGGGCAAAACGTCACTCACTTGCGCACCCTGATCATCTCTCATTCATTTTCCAGTGGGGTGGGGTGGGGTAATAATGTTCATGTTCCTGTGCACACACAGGCTTCTTGCTGTCCAGCAGACACAGGCATTGCTCCTTCATGATCACTTACCAAGTTTGCTTTCCACTATTAAACAATAAAGCGGCTTGACTGTCTTGCAATCACCGTGCATGCAAGTGGTCTCTGGACGACGGCACGTACGCAGGGCGCCCGCGAAATCGCAATACCACATAACAAACATGCACACCCACCTGATGCACACACACACACATTACCAACATTTACGCTGCGGGTAAATAACCCTTCGCCGAACGTTAAAAAAAAAGCAGGATCAGCACGCTGCACCTTTACGCAATGGTGATGATGATGATGGTGATGGTGATGGTGATGATGATGACGATGCTGATGCTGATGATGATGATGATGCTGATGACGACACAGAAGAAGCATCATGATGATGATGATGCTGATGATGATGATGATAATGATGATGACGCTGGTGCTGATGATGATGATGATGAGGAGGAGGAGGAGGAGAAGGAGGAGCAGGATGGCAAAGAAGAAGAAGAAGAAGCGTGATGATGATGATGATGATGTTGAGGAAGCTGATGATGATGATGATGACGACGATGGTGATGAGGATGCTGATGATGATGATGCTGACGATGCTGATGATGAATGATGATGGTGATGATGATGATGGTGATGATATGGCCTTACACGGGGATGAAGATCATGATGATCAGGCGCGTTCCAAAGCGATGCTTGAGACCGCGTTCCAAAGCGATGCTTTAGAACGCGTTCCGAAGCAAGTATATACCTAACTGGGAACATGAGGTGTTTTGTATACATTTTGACTGCGAAATGTGCTTCGCGCCACAACGGCGTGCAATTTTTCATCTCTTATCTGGCCAACTGGCTCCGCGCCCGTCGCTTTAGCGAGCCTACTTCTCGACCCTCCGGAGCCACAAATCATAGGAAAAACACAGTGAATCGGGACTTTTCAACCTGTTCGCACTTTTCCATCTGCCCATATTGTCGGAAGTTTGACTTCTAAACTTCCTTCGGTTAGCATGTTCGAGAATTCCATATTCTATTCTATCCGGAAATTTCTGGAATCTACCGGATCTGTTTCTAAATGCGCGGAGCCCACATGAGTCCGCAACCCCCCCGTTTTACCCTGGAATACACGGGAGGCAGGGTAAGGCAAGAAATTTTTAAGAAATATTTCACCTGACCACGTGAAATATCCACCCCCCGCGTGTTTTTTGGGCTTCCAAAAGAGGTGGGGGGGATCCTCCGGATGCCAGATTTTAGCCTAGATATGTCAATTGGATACACATGACTTCTGCGAACTCCTGCCCCTGACCTTTGAGTCCTGCTGCGGCAATGGAATTTCTGGGGGGTGGCTTCTAGAGCTGTAAAATACCATGGTTTTGTATTTTCCTCTTCAAAGATGTCACAAGCAAAGTTTGGCAAGAGAAAAAAACAAGAAAATGCGTGCTTCAGCCGGTCCGCCGGTTTGCACGTACCTGACCACATCCACAGGTGCCCGCTGATTCATAACCGACAGCGCTTAGATTTTCTATTGCCTTATTTTACCGTATATAAATCCCCATTGAAATTTCCAACCTTGTAGGGGGTCACTCAAGTGACCCCATTTTTTAGACAGAAAATGCTTGAACAGTCATTTTCCCTACATTTCCCGGGGAAAGTCGGAAAGGTCCTTCATGATTTTATATGTAAATGTATCTGACCATTTTCTAGAGAGATAAGGATAGATAAGGGCTGAAAAAAAAAATATCGAACTCTTGTCCGAATGCTTCCTGGGTCATTCCTGGGGAATGCTTAAAAAGCCCCATGCCCAGGGCCAAGTTCATCCTTCCATATCAAGTCATTTTCTAGACAGCTGCTAGATTGATATCAAGAGACAAATTGATTGTGCAATGCATTTTCTAGACCTCTTTTGGGGTGCCCAAAAGCATCACAAAATAGATCCAAATTCATCTAGATTTTGCTGAAATGTGACAAGATGCGTTTCAATGTTCTATTCCAAAAGTGTGAAGACAGAACTTCAGGATTCAGTCAAGTGTGCCAAAATTTTGAAGTGCCAAGAAAAGATGTCTTTCAGTGAGGCACGAACCAAACAGAGACCTTGATCTTAGTAAGGATTACCTGTCTTAGTAAGGATTGCACAATTCATTTTCTAGAGAAAACATTGTTCATTTCTGGTCCTCCATTTTTGAAACCATTTTTTTAGGGAACATTTTTTCCCCACCTGCCAGGTGAGGGTTGTTAGATTTTATGTCAGTTGCCTGGTCCTCCTCCTCCTCCTCCTCTCCTCTCCTCCGCCTCCTCCTCCTCCTCGTCGTCCTCCCCGTCATCCTCCT